AACGTCTCACCACTGCAAGTCGCATGGGTGGTTGCGAATGCGCTTGCCGATTTGCACCACAACGGCGTCTTCCACCAAGATCTTGAGAGCTACAACGTCCTTCTCTCGTCGACCAACTACATAAAAGTCGCGAACCTCGGTTCTGACCTCGAGCCGGACGCAACGACGGGCAAGAGCACTCCGTACTGGACCGCCCCCGAGGTGCTAGCATCGACGAGCAACTACAGCTTCGCAGCTGACATTTACTCGTTTGGCGTCATTTTGACCGAGCTGGACACGCTTCAGCTGCCTTATCACGATGCCAAGGGCCTCGGGTACTGGGGTATCATCGACGGCGTGCGTCTCGGCAACCTCCGTCCGACAGTAAGCGCGAATTGTCCCCATTGGCTTCAACATCTCGCCGACGCCTGTCTGTCGTTCGACCCGACGCAGCGTCCGTCGGCACTCATGATCGTCGAGTCTCTCCAGAAGCTACTCCATCGCAGCGAAGAGGAGCTTTCGGCGCCTGCCGTGCGAGAACCCGAGATCAAGTTGGCCGCGCCAAGTGACGCGGGTAGCTCCATGGTACATGCTGCTGTCTGGAAAAGTGTTTTTTCATGTCGGTGTAGGAAGTGCTGTCCGACGAGAGCCCGCGGCCACCGACGAGCGAGGGGTCGAGCGACGCTGTTGTAGCGTCCGCTATCAATGCGGCCACGCCGCCCATGGCACCTGCAATGTCGACTGACACGCCGGTGCGAGCAAGAGCACGCATTCTGTGGACGATGATATCTCACATTCTTGCTGGCGTCGATCATAGACGTCGTCGTTGTCGCCTTCCTTGATCCTTGTGAGCACGCGCGCCGTGTGCCAGCTCTGCCGCGCGTCCAACTCGCTGCTCGCGTCGCACTGCGAAGCCTGCGCGGGACCCTTAGCCACTACTGCGTCCAAGCTCAAGGCTCTCTTGAAGCGCCTAGCCGTCGCCAAGAAGAACGGATTTGAGATCGACGACGGTCTTTTCTGCGACTGTTGCGACGCACACCAACCGATGGAAGCGACAATCTGTAGCGTCTGTGAAGAAGAGCTTCCGACCGACCACGAGCAGCTGTCCATCCTCATTCTACGCATCGAGCAAGCGACCAAGTCGCCAAAGGCCTAATATCTCCCAGCGACATGTCTCGATGCTAGTACAACGCAATTCCATTCTTTGATGCAGCCCTTTCGCACAAGGAACTCATGGCGGTGTTTAATCAACTTTGATTGTGGGTTTCGGCTCACGGCAGTTGGATCGCTCCAAGAGCTGCTCAGTCACAGCGAGGAAGCGCTGGTGACGCCTATCAAGAGTGAGCCAACAACCAAGCCAACGGCCAAGCCGAGTGTTGTGGATAACCTCGTGGTATCGGGAGTCGGTTGTATGGTGATTTTCATGTTAGACTACGATGTCTGGCGAGAGTCCACAGCCCTCGATCCAGCCACCGGCAGACGCACTGTCTATTGGCGCCGGCACAACGGTCGCTATCATCGCACCCGCGTCTTCCATGGCACCTCCAAGGTCCACTGGCTCGGCGGTGAGAGTGGCCTTTCTCGTTTCGTTGTGGCATTCCGAGTGGCAAAATGTTGTCCGGATACCATTGTATTCGGCATGTGCCGACTCTTGTGGCCAGATTGCAGCTGGCCAAAGCAAAGTCGCGGAGCAGGACAGCAGGTCCCGGCCAGCGCGGTCAAGACGAA